CGTACGCCACTACTTAATATGTTTTGATTTCCCTAATTGTCACGTCAGAAAATAGCTCTTTCAAGATTAGTCGAACCAAAAATGCTGACGCAATTTAATTTCACTTGATTAGCGCTGTCGAGGAAAAAAGACGATATTTGCGAGATAAGCTTGTCCTAGAGAATAGTAAAAATATTGAAATAACGCAATTCGCATTGTAAAAATTAATATAATTAGGGAAAAATTTATTTTACTGCTAGATAATCTAGTCTCAAGAACTTAACACTGTAAAAGTTTACCAAATTGATAACGCTTTAATATACTGGTGCAAAAAGTCATTTCGCGATATAAACTGAGTTTCGGTCGATCATCGCGTGGAAAAAATGGAAAAGTAAGAACGGCTCTAGTTAGCAATGATAATCGGGTGAGATTTCCCTCCGGAACGTTCGCATAGGTGGCCCTATGCATCGCGTATGTCGTTCGCTTAATAAGTTTCCCTTATCAAAGTGTGTCATCTACAACTGGATAGTCGAAACCTGTTATTATCGGTGTTATCTTTGGTCGATCCGATTCCGATTATTTTTTGTAAAAAGTCGCCCGATACATGTACGTGTTACGTAAAGTAGAATCAATGCTGATCTGACATGTGTGGCCCGTAGGCCGCGCTTTCACCTGATTAGGTTCTATCAGACCACCAAACCATTTCCGATTGCTCGTTACACATAACCGGTATTTTGCAGTGTTGCTCTTGGAAAGTGTAAACATCATGTAGCAATTATCCTGCTAATCATGAGTAGGAGAGCGGGAACCGTTTTGAATGAACCGTTTCAGTTGGTATTCTATAACGTAGCTGATAAAAATACGCGCATAAATATAATATTTTAGTATACATTAATATAATATATGCACATGCATTTATTATGTTATAACAGCATAATATCGACATGTGCATTTAATAAAAAGAAATTAAAATCCTGCTATTTTCTACCATCGTACCGCGACGTCCAAAACGCTCGTCAACGAGCGTCAACTTTTGCTGTAAACAAAAGTAAAGAGGTATAAAATGAAGTGGCGAAATAGAGAAACGAACAATTGTGGTTGAATAAAATATCGCGACATTCGCGTAGAAAGACTTTTCAGCGGGCGCGTAGAAAACGGCATGACCGGCCTTGATATCGAATCCATATTGATGGAGATTCGCTGCAAGGGTGTGAGACAACGTGCCACGATTCGACCAGATTTGCATGCATTAACGCCACAAGCGAGACTGATTGACAATCCGTATGTCATTGTGACGTCAGTCAAATCGCCCGAGCGTCCTCCATCAATCGCAATCAATTAAGGTAACGATTGATTGTTACGCGTTTGGACTCGGAGAAGAGAATACAGTGAGCCGGTATTTATGTGAGGCATAAACGGAACATTGCGCAAGCTACAGCACAGTAGGAGAAAAATATTTTTCAATACTTGACATCGATTTATTCTTTATTCAAATTTTTCATATACCAATTTTCTTTCTCTTTAATTAACATTCCGAAGTTTCAGCGAGAAACATTTATTTAATTGTGAAACTTTTCGAGTACTGGTATTCAATTGGTATTGGTTAAGTATTGAAATATTATTGACGTGTATTTGGCTAGAAAATTTCGTGTTTAAATAATTTCGAGCCGTCATAATCATTTTATCTTTTATACTCTTTTCTATAATTTTTACATTGTTCGATTTACCAATAAAACAATGATAATATTGATAAATCTCGCGTTTATATATATTTTTCAATTTTTTATCATTTAATTTTTACATTAGCATTTATATTCCATTCGCGTAAGAAGCTTTATTAAGAAAATTTATGTTTATGAGAACACAGAAAACATGAATTTTAATCATCTTCCAACTTTTTGGTGCTCCATTGCACGTTTAACGTAGCGCTTCGACGTTTGAGCGATTAAAACGATCTGAAATCTGCTCGGCTCGGGCCTGGCCACGGGCGGATTAACTTTTATCGCGGCGCTGACCAGCCTCGCAGTATTTTTTTTTTGTACAAAATTTCGCCGTTGCGTCCCCTCGGAGAGGCCCGCGCGTAGGCATGGGGGAAGTGAAACGATCGTCGTCGCGCGGGATCCGAAATGGAATCCATCAAATTGACGGAGGGAATGGCAGAGAGGTGCGTCACGGTACTGAGGGTCATCGCGGCTGGTATGAACGCGTAGAGGAGGGCGAGAGGAAGCGACGCAGGAGGAGGAAGAGAACCGCTGCAGCGCGCGAAGGGCGCACACGAGGACTATGATCGATGCCCCGAAATTAAGGGCTTGCCCACTGAGCGAAATAAAGTTAGCCAATCGCGCTGGCGACCGTACTGTTCGAACGTTATTGGCTGCGGCAGCACCGGGGTGCGTTGTTCGTCGCACACCGACCCGATGCCCGATTTTTTCTCGCGTTCCCACCCTCTTTCCCCTGTTTTCGGGGGGAGAGTTTCTGGATACCGGCAATTGGAGAAAGAGAGTGACACCGGAACGCGTGGGCGGAGGAGGCAATGGAGGTGGGTGGATTTTCGTAATTATGAAACGCCGTTAGCCCCCGGGGATCCGTCAGTCGGCGGGGAAGCCCGTGGCGCTGCCCGGCCACGACAATGCCATTTTAATTATGCATGTTAATTGGTTTCCGAGTCCAGCGTAATACCAGCTTCTCTAGGACTGTTCTCGCAATCCGCCTATCGTCGATCGATGCCATCGCGTTTCGATCGATCGATGGACCGATTATATCAAACTGCTGTTCGCGTATAGAAGGGAGTTAAAACCTCTGCAACTTTTATGAATCTGCATCTATATTTGTCGGTTGACGGAATATATGCGTGGGCGCCGGTGCGTTTTGTAATTTCCTAAATTAAATTAAATTTTGTGTAATTAAAAGTCGAAGCTAAATAAGAAGCGCGCGTACAATTCTTTCATAAAAGTTTTAGATAAATTAAAAGGGATTGTTGCGATAAGCGCAAAAGCTTTGACAAATTCGTATCCACAACTCTTTGATATCAAATGTAATAAACATGAAATACATAGACGCATAATTTACACAGCAAGTGCTGATATTGGTTTTTGCAGCGAGAATTACGGTCGGATATTGCATCGAAAGTGGCGAGAAGGGATGACAAAATGATCACGCTTAGGAATACAAACGCTTTGTTTTTCCCTTCAGTCAGGTATACCAAATTGATGGGGGGCGCGTTGTACTTTCTGCACAGCTGAGCGAGCATGTCACAATCGACCAGGACCGCCTCAATCAAAGTGGCATTGATACCCTTCGCTTACTCTCTCGATCAGACTCTCGCGTTCTCCATTGTGGTTTTGTGCGAGACTGAAAATCTATTAGCCTTCCAATATATATATATATTTCCCGTGAGCCACATATATAGACACAGACCTATATACCGACAAGTGTAAGGAAGTATTTTGTGAATATATGTTTGTTCGCACGAATATAAGAATAAAAGTCAGTGATGAAGATGCGACAATCCGAACCCCAAGTTATATTGTACAATATTTTATACGTCAGCGCGTCATGATTGAGGTATCATAAATAATCATGATCACTGACGTTGCATAAAGTAAGATTATTCCGATTGGCAAATGGTAAGATTTAATCCTGTAATTTTGCGGAAGTTACTCATTTGTTTTACTCTCGTTACGAACCGCCGTGTCCACGGAACGAACTCGAGGGTTGCGTTCATCACGACACGCGACCGCTTCGCGGTTGCATTCACGTTACGACGCCGTTGTTACGACATTATTCGAGTGCGTGCGTGCCGTGTGCCGAACGGGCATTTTCGAGATTAATTCTTCTATCGTCTCACCGATCAGCCCAACCTACGAGATTGCATAATCTTTACAGGAAGCTAGTTATTATTCTTTCAACTCCAGCAATACGCGGTTTATCACTGCGGATACATCGATACGACCCAACATTAATGTCGCGTCGACATCACGGGTGCATTACTAACGTCGTTAATTTATTTCACCTTTCGAGGGTGTAAAAAAATTTGCAGTCACGTTTTAAAGACCGCCAAGATTAAGTTTAAAGTATCGCGATTCACGTGCGGTGTTACAATCCAATCTGACCCATTTTGCTATCAAGCCAGTTTCGAACTGATCAACGAGTAAAACACGACTGTCACATGGTGTCGGGGCTAAACCCAACAGGTGCAGACGTCGAAAGACTCGAAGGCGCGGAAAAATAGTTACGCGCGAGCCTACCAGGCTTTACCTGTCACCGGCGCGTAACACATATCCCTTCGAATACGGATGAAAGCTCGAAGCCGCCAGCGTATCGAAGCCCGGGGGTTGAGCACCTCTGAGCGCAAGATGTCCTCCTGAAGACTATCTCGGCCTCGGTCCCGCGGGAAACCTCTTCCTTCCTGCCGTTCCTATCTCAGGATACTCTATAGCCTATTCAGATACCAGGCTCACCCTGCTACACCCCCGTGTTAGCCACGCCACGGAATAGAGACCGGGCGAGTACACGAGAAGAAGAGAGAGCGAGCGAGTAGGTGTATAAGGGGAGTCTATGTTACCATGGACGAGCAGCACCATGCACAAGGTTGGAGGGCGTATAAGTACGCCCGAGTATTCGAGTACTCTTCTACCCGGCTATCCCGCCGCATCTCGTAGGAAACGTATTTTGCAAGCCTAAATGTTCTAGGAGCCAGGTCGCAACGGTAGAGACGGGAGCTCTATCTCATAGCTGGGTCCTTCGAGAAGGACTTATCTGGACCTTTATTTCGTTGATCGTTGAAAGTGACGATAGCGCGGACGACCGGCTGATAGAGGCGGTTTCTACGAAATCGACGCCTCCGTGTCGTTACACTCGCCGTTGTCAAGTCGAGATTCCGTCATGTGCGCCTCGATATCGTGTAACGCGCTCGTTACGCAACGCGCACGAGATAAATTCGCGCATTTAAGCAGATCATGGCCGTCGCGATACCGACACGTTCGTTCCGCGAAAGTTAGATAACGGTAGATTCCACTCACCGGTCGATGATGACAGGATCACTGGGCGTTTCGTTCCTGTTGCCGCAGCTCTTCTTATCGCAGCATCGGCTGTAAATAGACAATACGTTTCACCTGATTACACGTATTTCTTACGAAAAAAGGACACGAGTAAAAGCTCTCGCGCGGCGTCAGAAGTTTTAAATCGGCCTAAAAAATAGCGAAACCCATGGGATTCGGAAAGTAGGCAGCGGAAACTAGTGGTAGTACGTTCCCGAAGTCCCATGGGTCACAATGAGTCAGCTACCCCCGAAGAACGACTACATCCCCGCATGCCTCGTTACGTTTATGCTACAAGGGTGGCGTACGTAGAAGAGGGACACTTTTTCTAGACGCAAACATAAGTCGGCGCGTACTTGTAATAACTTTACATTATAAAAAATGTCGATAGAAATTTGCTCGTAATTAAGTTAATTACGCGGACAAACAAAGACGTGACACGGAAAACACGTACCTGCACATGACTTCGTGCGTAAGTAGAACACGGCACATTTCCGGATTCTTGTCTTGCCCCTCATACATGATTGCCTGTAACAGAAAAGTGATATTAAGTCATTGATATTGTTCTTCGATACACGACTGTCGATACATCGTTAAATTATCCGCAATTAACTTGTAGCAAAATTTTTGTACGTATATAAAAATCGTTTCTATTTCGATCCAGTTTATCCTCTCGCCAACTTTGATTCAATCGTACGACTCAACCATTGCCATTTACGCAATTATTTATTAACATTTTTCGCAATAAATTCATCACGTCAGTTCTGCTCCTTACTTTCTATATACGGAAAGACTTCTTTCAGTAACAGATTTTATTTTCAAGAAAAAAGTGCTAATTAGCACGGACATGGGCGACGTGAGAGTAATCCAGTTCGACAGATAATTCAACCAGCGATGGGAAATATGTAACGTATTAAGCAAACTCGTTGTGTGGATGCGAGTTGAGAAGGGGCTACTTTCCCCGCAGGACTACTAAGCCATGGGCGGCGCAGGCAAATCCGTTAAGCCTCCTTCACGACCACGCGATTGATTTTTATTTAATGACAACACGTCGTTATCCTGTATTCGTGCACTTACCGATGGGGACCTTCGCGCGGATTAACCGTAGAATAACAAAGCGCGAACAGATAGGCTTGCTTTGATCTCTCGTGTATAGCTCTATAAAACAGGAAAACAGCTCATTTCTCAATAAAATGTCGCTTTTATCAAAATGATCTATGTGCAAGATGAAATTTTGCGTGTACTGTATACATTTTTTAACAACAAACAAGAGATATGCATAAATGCGTGTACGCGGCAGCATTTGCGTTTCATGCAACTGAAATGTTACCCGATGTAATTTCGATAACGATTACTTTAGTATTTTGATTTGAGAAATGAGTTATTTCTTCGTTTTGAACGTCTCTTTGCAACGTCCGATCGAAGCCTTTGATGGCGCGAGACTTCGAGGAACGAACGCGTACAATTGCATTGATTGTACGTGCGATTTTTTACGCAATTTCGTGGTTTGCATAACAGCCCTGAATCGCTGGAGTTCACGGCGAGGAACGATAAAATGTAAATATTGTGAAATACAGTGTCCCAGGGAATTCGTCGAGTTGACGGCACCACCGCCGGTGCTTGGCCGGTTAAATGTCGGAGTACGACGGTAATAGTATCAGACACACTTGGTCCCAGCGTGTAGGTGCGACTTCCAGAATGGCGTCAAATATTTATGCGGACGAAATAACCGAATTGCAACGTAAACGAACCGCCGTGGCTGTATATATACATCGCAGTAGGTAAATCAGGGAGGGATCCGGCGTCGAAACGGAGATGTCAGGATGGAAAATAGGGAGGCAAGAATAAACATGGCGGAAAGGGGAAGACTCGAGGTATCACGAACGATGGCAGGGGAAAAGTACATGTTCTTGGTAAGCGCAAAGGAAGGAGTCATAGAACGTTACGTGCCGCTCGGCTATTACGAGTCTTAATAGTAAGGAGACATGCAAACTTATTTATACTCGGAATAATTAACATAAGTATGTACTTTATACATTGTATTAAGCTCTGCCGCGAGATAAGGCGCTTACTTACACCTAGCCAATTAAGTTTTGTGCAAAGTATCGCTTGTTGAATCAGGATTTTTCATTATAGTCGACAGGACAACCGAGAGCGTCATATAATTGCCATACGGAAATTCTTCACTGACATTAATATATTTACATTCTTACTATCGAGCGACAGCAAAACTTTTACTCTTTTTTCTTTTCCTGTATAAGTTTTCTGTGCATTCATATACAAGAAATTACAAATACAAGACTAGAAGGATGCAAGAAATTCGATTGTTCTGAGCAAACATGAGATCAAGGCATAATTTTTGACGCAAAGAAATCAGGGAACAAAAATTTGATTTTTATCAACATGCTGTCGTTTGTTTATGCAAAAATCTTATTTCTGTATGGATGTAAATGTTAAGTAATATGAGACAGACACCTCAATAATCCTTTCGTGTGAAAATAGTTAAAATTATCCTTTACGTCGAAACATTAAGGTTTCTGACGAAATCTAAATAATCGCCGGGTGCGAGCATCCGTAGTATTACGCACGTATACAATAATTGTCGGTTAAACACAATAATGGTCAGGTAGAGCGTGCGACGTGGCATGCAATATTATTTGCTTAACGTTTACTACTGGTGGGCGTATGGGTTTTGTTTATTTTGTTTATTGTGCGATATGTACGAACAATTTGTAAGCAATTATTTTCATTACACAGTGCTGTGTCCTAGAAAATTATCCGTTTATCTGCGTCATTATCGAGAGCACTATCTTTTGGCGGCGTATTCAACGAACGTTTGACTGAACAGGTGGAAAAAGACATGTATTAATATTGTGATTAACATAGAACAATTGTTGAACCGATATAAAGTATCAAAATGTACAATTCCCATTTGCAACTGTGTCTCAAAGGTAAGTGAGTGCAATATTATGAGTTATATTCGTATCGCTACATGTGTTGATCCTGAAAGAGGCTCTACTGTCTTTCTTCCGCTCGTCGGTTCATTGGATATGGCGGGTGTTGTGTCGCAGAATGTCTCAAGGGTGAATGGCAGAAGTAGACGAAGGGTGGTCGGAGGCAACGACATCAAACAGAGGGTCCTGGGGGTGCGACCAGTCAGTACGATCCCCTCGGGGGCCTTTCTTCCGTTGCCTCCAAGTCCCACCAGGAGAATGCTTGGGCCCCCGTCGCAGCTTAATTCCCACGGGAATTACTTACTAAGGACTTATAGCGAAAAGTCCTTCGGAATCTCCGATCATAATCAATTCACGCATAGCACTATATAGTAAAGTTCAACATATTAAAATGAAATTTTCAAACGTTGAAATATACTCTCTGCCATTTTTTGAGTGAAATTCTCACTCGAATCATGGTGTCACCGACCACTTCACTCTATCCCAGTGAATATTTACTCCAATAGAGCGAATTAATTCACTCTAAGAAGAAAGGTGAAGATTTCACTCTTATTTTTAAAGTGAAGTCGTTAGCACTCCAAAATTCACTCAAAGTGTGGTATTCCGCCACTAGATGGCCGCCGAACTCGTAAGTAAGATCACGATAATCCGACATACACGAGACTCCGTCACGGGCCGGGACGGTTCTTCCGCGACAATCGGCAAATTAAGCGAAGTTGTCACATAAAGTATGGATTTCCGGTACTGGCTGTGAATATTAGAATACAGCCTCTATATGCGAAATTCATTTAAAATTTCATTTAGAACTGCACGAAATACTAACTGGCAGTATTTTCATTATTTCTTCAAGTGGAATCTCACTTTTGGAGTGAGATTCCACTCGAAAAAATTTAGAGAGTAGGTACTGCAAAAAGGCAGTTTCTTCACAATTCCTTTTGCAAGTATAATAACTGTAGAAGTTAACTTTCCACAACATATCTATAAAGACATCTGTCATCTTTGAAAATGTCATGACCGCATCTCCATGTGATATTATCAGTTTCAATAATCTAACGATCAAGCGACGATCAAGGCCAGTGAAAGAGATATCATTATCGACATATGTGTATCTTATGTTTGCCATAGGACATTATATCATTTGATATCAGCAGACAACAGACTGATATCGCTCAGCAGAAAAAGAACCGGCGTGTATGATAATCAAACCGTAGCGTCATTCTTTCGGTGCCCTCGAAGATGGCAGTAGTACGAGGAGGAAAGCGAGTACCGAAGGGGGCAGATAAATTCGAAGATAGTCATTCAAATCTGCCGTAATGATTTCCATCCTAAATCGATTCCAAAAGTCCCCTGGGAATCCCCCTCTATATCGGCCGGGCGACCCCCGCGGCCTCCCCCGTACATACGCTGAACAACATACATACAATGTTACCCTCGCCCCTAAAAGAATGTCCACCGCCTGAGGGGAACGCCGACCTCTCTTTCTCTCCTTATCTGTCTGGGCTTAACTTATCTCGAACTTATTATTTCCTTAATCTACGGTTAAATACTCATATTTCAGTATTAACTACGGTTACTTTATATCCTAGACTGATGTCGACTCGGTTTGATCACTTTAAATTGTAGAATCGCGAACGCTACATGAAAGAAAAAATGTAGCAAATCTTATGCGAAATGAAAAATAATGATTGCGTAATTCGATTGAACACTCGTTTTTTGGCTCACTTTGCGAATACTGACGAGTCGACATTGCGGTGAGAAAAACAGCCTGACGGCTGACCATCTCCAACGTCGGATGGAGTTTAAAAAGGTTAGATACAATTTCCTGTTGTTCATTCATTTAGAATAATGGCGCCGCGCGGTTCTCTGCTTCCTCCATACACACGTCCTGTAAATGCTTTTTTTATCCCCGGAACTAATTACCATTTAGCATTTTTAATCCCGCGAAAAAACGCATTCTGGCTCTCGTTCGTCCCCCTCTCACCGGGCGGAAGTTCGTTCCCGAGCGCTTAAAAGCGTACGTTGTTAGCGCCATTCAGCCACGCTGCACGAAACTCGTTTCTTTCTCGGGAAGCAGCTCGTATTTTTCTGGAAATTTCACCGAGAAACGGACGGTTCTCAACATCCTGCGCCTTTTTTTCTTCCCCACTTCCTTTTTCCATTCCTCTCCCATTCTCTTCTTTGCTCTTCCCCCTCTTATTCTCTCTCTCTCCCCCCTCCCCCCCTCTCTCTCTCTCGTTCGCATCTCGTTGCACAGATACTTTACTCGCTGGAATTCCAGGAAGCAAACGTTGATATAGATACCTGCCTTGGCGAAGGAGCGAAGAAATTGAAGAAAAGCTTAAGGGTCAGGGGTTTCACCACGAGCTCAGCAGCCGACTCGGTGTAGCCAATTATTGCGGATTTATAACCGAGCACCTGATTCGGTCTCGAGAAAAGTTGGCGCGTTTCCGAATCGTAATTTGCAAGCCATAACTCGGCTTGGAGAACTCGCTGGGAAAGTGGAGCGCATACGGACACTCTCAAGCTTTCCGATGTAAAAATAATGATAATAACTCTAGCAAATACATATTAACTTATGCGAGCATAACTCACTTACGCGAAAATAATTCATTTATGTGAAAATCAAATTACAAGCGCTTTCAAATAACAAATATAAAGTTAAAAATCTTCATGAATATCATCGTAAGATTAATCCACGGTCTTTTGTGAGATACGAAAAACATAGCTGTTATATGTACATTATAAAACAATGTATCAGATATATTATTTTGAAAAGGTAAATATAACTATATTTTAGAACTATCATCGCAACTGCTTTACAATATATTGAAAAAGGAATTGATGTAAAACTGAAATCAATCAATAGCTTTTTGATTCAACGAGTTCGAAGTCGGCCGGCTGCAATACAGGCTCTGTAAACGGTTCTTTTATCTTCCACATTTTAATCACGGATAAGCTTATCCGGGTTTGTCAATTTTCTAGAGTACAATGGGCAAGGGGGATACGTCGACCTGGATTTGCTAAACACTTGGCGCAAGTTGTTGCACGTAGCGGCACACACCGACGCGGTGAATATACATTGGTTCTCCTGCCTGTATCTCTTCCTCTCGCTTTGGCAGGACGGCGGAGACGCGTTCAATCGAAGCTTTGATGTATAAATTGCAGCTTTCTCGTTTTCGATCCTTTCCCCCCCGTCCAACTTTCTACTCCCTTTACCAGCATGATTCTGAGGAGGGTGTCTCGGCATCTATCTATCACTTCCGCTTTTCTTTTCTTCGCAGACAATCGTTCTCGAACACTCTCTCGACCTCTTTTCCTTTTTCACCTTCTCAATCTACTCCTCTTTCCTCTAGCATAGTTTCGACGAGTTAAGATTGTTACAGACGTGATTGTATATTTTCAACATTTTGCGCGCGCTTCGCGATACAAGTGAAAAATTATGTGACAAACGCGACATTTTGCGACTTCGCTGAATAGTTTGCTTTAGTGTCTGTCTTCTCAACGCGATTTTTTTAATACACTTGTTCTTATTCCGGCAATTGCTTCGAAAGATAATACACGTATCGATCTCCTTCTGTTCCAACCGTTCAACCCTATGACATTCCGGATCCGATTAATAAAAGGAATGGATCGCGAATTGAGGACCGGTCTCTGCCGGTGCAAGGCCGCTGCGGCTTAGTAATTTAATCAGCTAAAACTAACATCAGCTCTGTTTCCCCAACCCTCCTCGTTCCTTCCTCTCTTCCTTCTTCGCCCTACCACCACCCTCTTCTTACCTCCACAACCGACCAGCCCCAAGATGATTTAATTTGCTAAAATGGTGCGCATATCTCTAGGAACTTGTTGGAAGCTCGGGTCACGACACGAAACAAAATAATCTCGAGCGGTGTGTTTGTTTTATATTGACACGATGGAATCGTTAATTCTTGCACTTTTTTTACAAATTAAGAACTTTTTGTTTAATAAAATACAACGTTTTAATATTCTTCGAATTATTGCGTTTCGTCAGAAATCAATAAAGTTGCTATTTATGTAAGGAATGAAATCATTTTGTTCGTTTCTCAAATTATGACTCATATGCGACTATGCCTAAGGCATAATTTAACTGTTTGAAAATTGCCCACATCCGTCTCCACTTACTTTGTCTACATATCCTCCCTAACTTTTACGGTATGGCCGTTTCTCTACGTGTCGTGACACTTCGTAGGTGTGAAACGTACCTTTCACGAAGGTGTCGCGGCCTAAAAGTTACCCTCGAACGAACATAAAAGGACTTATCGCGCGCGTGATCGCACGGTGTATTTGCGTTTGCACGAAGGTTGTGATCCTTCTTTGCGCCTTATCGGTGAGTCGGGATCTACGGTCCTGGGTGCAGGATCACAACACGTGGTTCGCGGGTCGCGCGCAGAGTTCGCCACGTGGCGCAGATAACAGGATGGGACAGCCGCGCGCGCGGCGGTGTGTCTGCTTTCCCGGAGGGGTAAGAATCAACCCCCCGGAAAATTAAGTGCTTGTAGCCGAGATGATAACACCCCCGTCCACGTGCGCGCGTCGCTACGACGATTTCGCACGAGTCCCAACGCGTAAAAACGGCAAAGGAGGCTGCCGCGCAATAGTTGCCCGGCAATGAGACAATTGGCATTTTTTAAATTATCATCTCATTTTTTAAACAAGAGGTTTATACTTTATCTGTTAATATTTTATGATCAACTTCACCTGGATATTTCGACGATTTCGCACGAGTCCTGACGCGTGAAAACGGCAAAGTAGGCTGGCACGCAATAGTCGTCCAGTAATGAGACAATTGGCATTTTCTAAATTACCATCTGATTTTTTACACAAGAGATTTATAATACTTTATGCGTTAATATTTTATAGTAAACTTCACCTGGATATTTCACATCTAAACTGAAAAGATCTAATTAAGCCAATAGGCTTAATTAGAAACCTAGAGATATTGTACTTACTTGTTTTGTCGCGGAGTCTATAAGCCTCACGTAGATATCCTGCACCTGTCTGACACCTGAAAAAAATAAAACATTAAATTAGAATAGACCACTAATTCACCCTCGCTTTGCAAATGCGTTTCAAAAACATATTAGTTATTTTACATAAATTGATAACAAATCAAGTTAATACTATCGTTATACAAATCGCTTCGTTCGCGCATCTCGATAAAAAGCACCATTAAGCGAAGAAGCCGCGCAGGAATTTGCAACGCTCACGAGAGGAATACGACGAATACGGAAACGTGTCCAAATTCTGCCAAGCAGGCCCGCAACCGAAAGGATATATTTAAGAAAAAGCTGCATATTAACAAGTATTTAAAGTCGCTGGCGATACAAAGCGGCTCGTTCTTATGCTTCGGTACGTATGCACAATCATCCTTCTTCTTTATGCCGTTCCTGGCCTCGCTTTGGGACACCGAATACCAGCGTCACTGCGCGTAACGCAACGTTCCGCGATAGGAAGCGAGACGCACGTACGTATAAATACGTTAATTATCATGCTCTTGTTCCTCCGAGACACAAATTTGAACCTGAGGAATTCGTCGCATCCATGTACGCACGCTTTGAGGTAAATACGATTTCCAGTTCGAGAAGACGTTCTCGTCTTAATTGCCGTACGGAGGTGGAGATAAAAAAATTATACTCAAGCCCGCAATTCTTGGTTTCTTCCGATAACTGTCGGAGAACACGCTCGCTACGCGGAAAAGATATTACGAAAATGACGTATCGGCGTGCATTATTATCGCGCCCTATCAGAATCGTGAGCATAGTTCACGCGCATCTCGGCGCCGCAAGTTTTCGAAACTGTTCCTTCCTTCCTGGGGGAGTACCGGGTAATCCTGGGGTGTATTTCGGACAGACACCCCCGTGGCTTCCGGCTTCGCGTGCCCGGTAAGCCAAGTAATCCCGACATAAGACTCCCAGACCCGGCCGGGCGCCCAGGCCCGGGCTCACGCCGCATAACGTTATTGCGGATTACGATACTCTGCTCGAAACTAGCTCACAAATTACCTCGAGAAACCGTCGCGGCTTTACCGGAAGTTACGTACGCAGTCGACCGGTTTACCGTATCCGTGGCCATGTCAGGATTTGCAAATACGGGTCGACGCTAAACTGACCGAATAACTGCTATGAGCTTCCGCCGGGATATCTGCTTTTCTCTGTTATAGAAGTTCTAATCGGTAACCGGGATCCAATGCGAAAATTAATGACGAATATACTTCAGAATTGCAAAGGGTAGCGAAGGCTTCCAGAAAGAAAGTACGTAGTAAGGGGAAAGCGCCAATGTGAGCCACAAAATGAACTTTATTGCGAGAACCGAGTTCCGTTCATTTTGCGGCTCACATTGACACTTTCCTCTTACTACGGAATATACTTCATTTTTCGACATACTATTATAATGAGAACATTTCCAATAAATTGTCGCGGCTGATTTTTTCTAAGGAATCTACGTAGAAGCATAAAACATTTGTACGCTCTTCAGTTATAAAAAATTGTACACGATGCAAATTCAAATCTACACTTCGAATTAAATCGTAACGAAATGTTCGGCTTTTTGTTCATAAAATAATATTTATAATTAATTACACGCTCGCAGTGTTTTCCACGTTAATTTCCAGAAAACTACAATACAATGAAGCTAATGTTAAACGATCTTCTTCGATAGATCGACTTCTTTGTAAATCGATTTAATTTGTATCGGCTAAGGGATGTGGAATGTAATTATGAACGCGCGGAATGCCGCGCGTCAATCTTATCGCCGGCGGCGCGGTCTCTTCGCAATTCGAAGCGACGACGATAAAGGAAAGAGACGAAAAAAAAGCTGAATAAGAAAGAAGACTCGCGTGCCATGTCCCGCTGAGCGGAGGCAAATAAGTCTAGATCGGCCGGCATTAGCATAACTAGGCGACCAGGTTTGAAGGGGACAAAAACTGATCTCTCGAAAAAGCCGACACCGCCCATTCTATCGTTCCGATCGGCGATCCTTGATCAGCGGCACTTTTATCGCGTTACGATATTCCGTCGGCTTTGCAGCCTCATGCATTTCGTCTCCGTCTCTATTCTACGGTGTACGTGTTATACCTATTGCGTACTTTCCTTATCGCGCATGTGTGCGACGAATGGCTCGGGAGGCGCGCAAGAAAAGGGTAGTGGATGCTGGCGTGGAAGGTGGGGAAGTAGAAAGAGGATGAAGAGGAAACGGAGCACGCGAAGATGCAGGAGGAATGAGCGATGACAAAAAGGAGTACGGCCCAATATGGGCGAGAGCCCGTCGTCACTCAGACGGCAGGGAGAGAACGCTCCTTATTTATTATTTAATTACAGATTTATTGCCTGGTCGAGCGATCGGTGACGCCACGACGTGTACAGGAACACCTGATGTGGATCTGCCAGTGTAGCGGCGGGCCCGGAGAGAGAGAGAAGGAGAGAGACGGGGCAACGTGCACCAATTTGTCTCCAGGGCATAACAGTCGCGCACGCGTGAGCGCGCGGCAAAGTATTTCGTGCATGAAACTTTTATAAACGGCGATACGACACGACAGTTCGATCTGCGGCGCATAAATCAAAGTCGCGTTAATGTACCGGTCGGCTGTAAAGGGTGCAACTAGAGATGTAGCACTCGCGCACGACAATGTGTAAACCCCGTTACATCGTCGTATTCAGTGACGACAAAATAATTGCTCGTTAGAACAATTATTTTGCAAAGTTTCTTTTACAATCTCAGCAATGCGTTTACACTTTAATGTTCGATGAAGTGTTTTCTCTTTCTATTAAAACATACGGGTTTTTATTTAATAAGCTTTCATTTCTTGAACGAAAATGCAATTGATTAATTTATGAAGGTGTAAAAATGTAAATAGAACGTCTTTTAATTTTCTTAAGAGAAGGCAATGTGACTGAACCTTGAAATTCTAAGAGAACTGCCAGCGAAGGATGCGTTTCTCAGTTAGACTTGGAAACAGCGCGCAAAGTTTACGATTCATCAAATTCAAATGTTCCTTTGATTGTTCCTGTTTCGCCAGACAAGCCTGTTTCGTGTTCGATCGTGCGATCAGAATTCTGATACGCAAAGCCACCAGCTGCCGGCAAGACGCAGACACGGCATCGCGCTCGAGAGAAAGTATGGATAAAATTACATGACGATAAGGAGAGGCAAGGACACGACGTATTCTCCCGTAGAGCGGACGAAGGCGTTGAGATAGAAAAGCAGAATATGGCAGAAGAAGGCGCGAGAGAGACGAAGAAGTTGGCTGACGGTCCGAGAGGTGCGCGTTGGTATTCCTTAGTTTGCAACAGTTAGTTGCTTCTTGTACGCGATGTTGGCGACACGTTTTAGTGCCCATAGATGGGAGCGCGGCCCCTCAGCCGAGCCGGTCAACGCAAAAATCTTGCATTGATTGATCGGGTCCCGGCAATGGAGACCGAGGAAAGCACCGTAATACGAGCCCCGGAAAAAAAAGGAGGATAGAAAAGGCGCGGGAGACGGAAGGAAAGGGTTGGTTTCGCGGCAGGGACGGAAGGGAGCGATTGGTAAAGACAAGGGATAAAGGGACGATCGCGGTTGGTCGACATTACTCGTCGCATGGAACGAAAAACCATCGGGCCGAGAGGCTCCGTATAGGCGCCTTGCGCTTTTTTAAATGCGTTCATAATGCGAGCGCGTTTTTGGGGGTCTGCTGCTCGCGGACCACCTTCAAAACGTTCGCTTCTTCTGCTCTCTTCCCCCCCTTCACCCCGTCGTTCCTCATCCCTCTTTGCGCCCCGTCCGTGCGCGCACATTCGTGCGCTTCTTCAAGGCGGAAGATGGACCCTTTTTGCCACGCCTGGGCCACAGCGACGTAAAATATGTCTCTGTTGCGCCCAGGCCTCGAAGGTCCCCGGGCTTTTTAGCGACCTTAAGAGACCGGGTGTCCATGTGGAATGTCGATGGCCCGTCATCATCGCTACGAATGGGGCTATTACGTGCTCCGCCGCCCGGGCACGCAAATACAGATCGATCCGAGACTCTATCGCCATCGTCTTACGAACGTAATTGAAAATACCGAGTACATTTCGCAAACATATACATACGAATGTTCATTGAAACAAACGCTCGACACTCAGAAAATGAAATCAACTAGGATTTGCAGGTGATTTTCAATAATCGATAAGTGCTTTAATTTTATTTAGTAAAGAAGGTGACTGATTTCTCGTTACTTACCGTTGGAATAGAGCAGATGTAGACTGTACTGAATACCATTGTTCGTTTTTTGGCCCTCAGACTCCTGCAAAAAAGAGACGCGATACTTAATGATCACAACGAGGGAAAAGTTACGCATCGCTTTAAATCGATCGTACCGCCGGGTTACCTTACAACTTGTATCGTTTGACGCGAGTACGGTAGGCTGTTTGTTCGAGCGCGGCCTCGCGCGCGCTCTTCGCGCTCTATTCTATTTTAATTAAGTGCACCGTGACGCAACGCCTGTGTGTGCCCGGTCTGTTCCACCTCACGCTAATTATTAATTTCTTGATGCGCCGGTAAGAGCCATGCCATTACGTATGGCGTGCGATGCATAATTATCATCCTGCCCCGTTGACGAGTCATGCGTGCACCGTGCCATATGCCGCGACCACGGTAATGCATTTTCAACTACCTACCCCCGGAACATCATGGTCGGTGGTACACCCACGACCGCCCCCTCCCACGACCACGACTTTTAGTCGTGTAATACGACCTTTCGACTCGAGGATAAACGTTGGCAGCCCGATCGATTCTACGTCAAATTAACGTAATTACGTGCATAGATGTGTGGCAAAACTTGGTCGGCACGTTTCCTTCTTCTATTATATATGCTAATGAAGTTGCACGATTATTTTCGCAATTTTCCCAACAGTTTAAACGAAGCTTTTGTTTACCTTATATTTCGGTCCTTATGACTAATTAATTAGCATAATATGATCACCGCTATTTCGCGGCCGGGTGCGTTCGACAGATGTTACGACAGAACAGAGATTCTTGATGTAAGATTATATTCGACCGAATCAATTACTGCGAGGAGGACAAGTTCTAATTATCTAATTAATAGAAACTCTAAGGCCAGATAGTTACAACTTCTCGGTAAGCTAACTAATTAAATATGTCTTTGTTTTTCTTTGAAATTAAAAAAAAAGATCGATATGTAATTTAACTGTTGGCTTACCAAGAGGTTGAAAAAACTAAGAGTAATAATTTTTAAGCGTATACAAAATATGCATGCAAGAATCTATGTTGTGTACGATCATTGTTTCAAACAATACGTACCATAATTTATAAAATATACAATGAAAAAGATTTACTATGTATTTTCACTTTTCCATTTTACGTTTGTCGCCAACAATTTTATACTCTTGAATTCTCTTATTTCTCAAGCTCGACAGTCCCGCTCCATTTCGATGAGTACGAGAGTTCCGCGGAAGATATCAAGATTATGGCTTATCAGCTTAAGCGCGGGAATAGTCGACGCGGATAAGAAAACCGCATAAATCCATCGCAAGATTTCTCCGCGAATGAACGGGAAGTGATCATTTTTCTAACGGAATAACCTCCCTCCGTCCACATCCGCGCTCGCTTCGTCGGATAATCGGCCCTGCTTCGCCGATCGGCGTCTGACCGGCGACGTCTTTCTTCCCTTTTTTCCGTCGCGCGTGCGCGCGCGGTCCGAGCGTACGCATTAAGCTCTCTCCTGTCGTCGACGTTCGTCGCGACCATTAATCTCTAAATTCGTCCGATGGACGTTAATCAGATATATACGCGGGTAGGTCGAGCTACTCTCTTTCCTTCTCTCCGTTTCTTCGTCTGACTACTTTTTAATTAAACACGAACAAAAAGCGGACGGAACGAGGAGACGCTATGTATTTACCTAGAGCGTCCATTTCCCTGGAACGGTGCGTAGCATCAAGCGCGGCGTCGTATCGAGCTTAGCGAGACTCAATTCGCGTGCTTCCATATCGCCGTTTTTGCGGCAAGCGTTTTAACATCACTTAAGCGCAAACTTTACACGCTGATTTTCGTGCACTTTCTATTCTAGACTAGACGAAAGAAGATGAAAGAGCGAATTAAGGGGTCACAACACTCTAGAGCCCCCCAAAAAGCCAATTTTCGGTGATTTTTTTTCGGGAATATAATAAACGTAATGAAAATCTGTTTATTCCTATTTACTTATAAAAATTCATTTAAAAAAATTTTTTTACTTCAACGTATAGAGAATAAATAGGAGTAAACAGATTTTCATTTACGTTTATTATATTCCTGAAAAAAATCATCGAAGATTGGCTTTTTTCTTTGGACTCTAGAGTGTTAAATTAATTCTAGAATTGACTGTTGAACGCTGAATAATTGTCGATACCACTAATGGAATTTTAAATATATTTTAAATATTTCTATTCGCGCTTGTAGCTTTTTTTGCAATTTTTACAACAGAGTCAGATTGAGATGCGGTATGCAAACATTTCAATATTATGTTTATAACGGACTACAATAGTTTCGATTAAGATCAGCAATGGGTCAGAAGAGGAGATGCGTAGATCGAGGTATAAACTCGACACGGGGTTGATGCATATCCGCGGTGCATGACCCTAATTAATAGGGAGGCCACGCGATGCAACTGTTCCGACAACGTGAATTATGCACGTATTATAAGGTCGGGATAGGAGGATGAGAGAAGAATGAGCGAAGCCAAGCGGAACGTTACAGATTCGCGAAAGGATGGAAAAGACGCCAGGTGAAAAGTTATTTGTCGCGATGCGAATAATGAAACAAACACTAGCGCATTATGTACAAAACTTGATATGGCTGAGCCTTCGCGATCCGATTCGATTGAGTTGAATTCGAAGCTCGCGTTACTTTAAGGATGAAACGTAAATATGCACCGCGTCAAATTACACGATCAGATGCCGTTGGAAATCGCTAAGAAATAAATGTACAAAATTTCACGTAAATTTTGTGTGGAAAGTATCAGACGGTCAGATTAATACAAAACACGATTATTCGATCGTATCACACACGATATCGAAGAGGCCTTGATCAATTTATCTTATTACTCGTGCAATAGACGATGCGATCGACTCGCCGAACTTCGCAACTTTCCGACTCGCAGATCGCGAGTCACTCCACACCTCACGTCCTTAAATCTACGACGTTACGTCCCACAACGCGATCTAACTGTACGTTTTCCTGTGTCGAATTAGCCGACGATTTATGGCGGATAGATTTATTAGGGGGTGTACCTCGTTACCCCGGGGCGTAGAAGTAGAGAAAGGGAAAGGCGGAGGAGAGAGAGAGAGAGAGAGGGTGAAAGAGAGAGGGCGGACGGAGAGGTGGAGGGACAGGGGAGAGAAAGGGACAGGGAGACGTCCGACGGAACATCGTTGTTGCACGAGGCTCGCTAGAATTCCAGAGGTTTCGGACGGGATTACGTTTCGATAATTTATACGGCCGTGGACCTTGGTCCTCGTCCTCGTGCCGTGCATCTAGATTTCCGCCGTTCGTTCGTTTTGGTCCACCATGCGTGACTCGCGCGATGCACAGCACGTCGTATCGTACATAGATCCGATCGATCGATCCGCAATGTAACGCCGTAACGCGCACGATGTACACCAGGTTCTTATGCGCGTATACATACCGAAGATGTGTTATACTTGTGCAAATCCGCATTCGTTTATCCGCGCGGTCTCCCAGCGTAACGATTTCTCTTGCGCAAGAATGGACGCCGCTCCGCGCGGCGGTAGTTAACTTCTCCTTAAACAGCTATACTAATTGTACCAATAGAAAGTGGAGCTCTAACGATGACCGGAGCGCTGACAATCGCGTTACCGTTCGAGAACACTCTTTCGGGGTCGCGATCGTTCCTCGCGATTACTCCGCCAGCGGAACTTGGATTCACAGCTGCTGTCGACGGTTTCTAATCGCGGTGAGTTATCGCGCTATCCGTCGCCGATTCGGGAATTATAATACAATTGTTCAACAGCTGTCATTTAATAGAGAATCATCACAACTTATGCGTTTCATTGCTCCGTCTTTACAATTTATCCACATCCCTCCCACCCACCCCCCTTTATTTCATATACTTTATTGTGCCATGTATTGCTATCTTAAATTTTGTTTTTCCCATTGATATTTCTCAAATTATTTATTATACTTTTGCAATTATTGTATTCTGTAAATCTTACGTACTTTCATGGTAATTTTATTTCTTTCGCTACAACTGCATTATGCAAGGTCTTTTCTATTCTATTTTTACTAGTTAAGATAAATTGTCGTTATTCCGTTACATTGTCATTACGCTTTAGGGAACTACGTCCCAGAGCGTTCAATAAATAACGATTCTAACGATAACGATTCTCTTCCTCTCCCCCCTTTCTCTCTCGGTGCAATTATAATTACATAAATTTATAAAATACTTCTATTGATGACCAGTTGTTCTAGCGCGATCTTTATAATAACGCTGCTCCTTCCACGAGCTGCCGTTACGACTGACAGCCGTGATATCTGGGACAATGAAATTGAACGTAAAAAAAAAGAAGATAACTCCGTCGCGTTTTCACAACCGTGAAGTGATAGGTCTTAAAGGCACACGAGCACAGTGTTCCTTCCCTTTGTACACGTACGTGTTAACGCGCCGCGCGATAAAATGTACAAGCATGACAGAATTCATTCTGCTGCCGTATAATTAGTTGCAGACTGTATCATCGGGCAATTACGGTAATTTCTCGTAGAAGCCTCGATATTTCGCGCACGAGCGTCTGGTTAACAAACGCCCCGGCAGAATGTAATCTCCGATCGAAGGTACGGGCTGACGAGCGTGGGTGGAAGGCGCTCGTAGGGCGCTCTTTATTATTCGTAGGTCATTCTCTTCGCGTGACCATTCCCGTGATCCTGCATCGTCCATTTCTCACGCGGCCGATGGATTTTCGCCTGTCCGGCTAATTGTCGGAAAAGAGGCGCTGCTGTGGATTCTACGGATCATCGATACACGCGTACAGGCGTTGCTGTTTAATATTTGACGCCGGCCCCGATGGAAACGGCAATTATCGAGATAAGCGCGCGCTCGCACGATATTCCCCCGGCGTCATAAAGGGCCTCCTCTCTTTTTTTTCCCATCCGGTCTCCCCGGAGAGTGGCGGTTAGCGCGAAGCATTGAAATTCCGAACTTAATCATTCGCTATCGTCGCTCATTTTCACCGGCACCCGCCAACTCGGCCGCGTTCGTTCGACGCAATCGGGTTTCCCGAGTTTCGCTCATTTCTCGCGGCATTACGTCTTACAATTACATAGACTTATATAGATAGACCGCACGTCCTTGTGGGCGCGCTGAAGACTACACCGAAGGATAGAGATGTCGCGCGAGTAATGCTTTCTCTCTCGCTCTTTGTCAAAAGCGGGGAGAAGACGGAGAATATTAGACAAAGACACACTCACTCAGAGACTGGCCATAAGAGTTCGTCAAATTCCCGCGAGTGAGATAGCCTATGTCGATGGACTCTTATGACCAGTCTCTGATTACAGACAAGGTCTCTAACTCAGGTCTCTCACTCACTTTAATGTAATCTTGAATTCTTCTCACGGGACGTGCAGTCTATTTGTATAAGTCTATGTACAATTAGGACAGTAGCTTGCATCGTAATGAAAATTTGAAGGCGCGAGGAACGTAATAGCAGAAAATCATTACCTGATCCTTCTCGACGAAGCCCATGAACGACGTCCTCTCAATCTCGATCGGTTGGCCGTGTCGATCGTAAAGGGCGATTACGAAATGGAAAAAATTGCTCTTCCTCAGATTACTCGGTGGTTGTTTCTCGAAATGCGCCCGGCCCACGCCAACCCTATAACCGATTAGATGTCGCATTTGAGAGAATTATCCACTAATGTATTGCTTACATTATGATGTAATATCACAGTCTTGTTTATCTTTTATTATCAAATAAACATGTTTTATTTCACTAATCAACATAACGATACCTCTCCAAATTTGAAATACTTGAAAATAAAGTCAAATGTTTATAATACTGATTATACCATGGCACATGTAAATATGACTCAGTCTACGAGTCAATTTATACTATGGTATAAAGATACACCCACAGAAAAAATTTCCGAATCCAATGCTATTGCACTTCAATGTATCGTAAAACAGGCTCGATATAGCGCCAATCATATTTATTATAGAGTAAGGAATATTTCACTCTTAAATAAAAAATTCTAAAATCTAGAATAAAATGATAGTATGTATCTTTTTTAATTCTATAGAGGAGACTAAGAATTATTGATTTTATTTTGATATTGTCGTAGTTTTATACTAAATGAGATTGTGGGAAATTTGAATGCGTCAAGAATATTTTTGTCTCAGTGACAGAAATCCTTTTTCTGAGGGTGTAATGGTTATTTTAATTTAATAGGCGCGAATAATCTTTGAACTTGGAGGAAAATGTTAAACAATATTCTCTCTGTCGCGGAATCAAAGAGGGGTGTATCAGCACACTCCTCGGATGCAATAAGAATGCCCGAACCAGAGGAGAGGAAAGACAAACGAGGTCGACCGTGGGGAAGCGCAGGTGGTCTCGACGCCTTAAAATCCTATTAAGGTCTCATGTGCCGAGATTAGGCCGCTGGACTCCAATGCCATCTTTGAGTAATGGCACGGAAAGTCCCCTTTTCGAGTACGTTGCTTCGCACAGCTCGCGCGTTGCTCTCAGATTTGAATTGATCTTACAAAACTCCAAGTCTCATCATCATCGTTTCACGTCACGTTAATAATTAGGGAATGCACTAGAATAATTATTAATCATCTCAGAATTGCATAAATCTCTAGATATAGATACAAGCATTCGCGCTTTATTCGCGTCATTACTCGTATATTTTTCTTCTTAACAATACGGAGAAGTATGGACTTGGTAAAAATTCTTAGAAGTTTCAACGACGCATCTCCACGAAATTTAACAAAAATAATTGCAATTTATACACAGGACTTAAAAATTTAACGTATAATGTATACTGCAATCGGCGGTTAAAAATCACCGGCGAGAAATCGTATTATCGGCGCTGGTCTGTGCGATCGTGCCGTCGCGAAACGATAAAACCATCGCACGACTGCACAGAGCCGCGCGCACGGCCATCAGGGCGGACCCTCGGAGCGGAAAACTGAATCGACTGGACCGAAAATGAATAGCGGCAGTTTTGCAGCACATTTGCGAAATAAATGATGGTATCGGCGGTGCGTTTGTCACGCCAGGTGGTGGGATTCCGAGCCGCCGGCAGGTAGGGGGAGAGGGTGGAGGCGCAGGGTCGGCAAGGGGTCGGTTGCAAGGGGTTGCAACGCGGGCTTTCGGGAACGAACGGGGGACGGCGGATCGCGCGGCGGAGGGCGACGAGGGAGGACGCATCGGGAGAGGGAGGGTAGTGATGTACTGCCCGTGTCGATAATTATCGGTGGCTGATTAACCGGTCGCCGGTTCGCGCCCCATAACTCTCGACGTCCGATTATTTTGCCCCGTTTGCCATGCACCAATTCCTATATAACGCGTAGGCACGTTCTGCCGCACCGTTATATTATCACCCAAAATTCGCCGCCGCGCACCACCACGCCTTTTCGAGGATTGCGGAAAACCGCGCATACGCGCGCAGTATCGCTAATATGACAATAATGCGTTTGCGGTTTTCAGTGTCTGCAAACTCACGTTCAAATTACTTGGAAAAGGAATCACTTTTGTAGGTTTAAATAACGCTTGATTATTAGTAATTGCTTTCGCTCCCTTTCCAGGGTGTTTTAACCTTTCATTTGAAAATTTTGAATTTCCAACTTGATTCATGAAAAGCGTGAAATCCAATCACTATTATATTATACGATATATAATAATATTATACAACGTGTCAATACAGCGCTTAGGTACGATATGAGATAAAAGAATGACAAATTGTTAAAAAAATATTAATAAAATTAATAATAATACAAACCTAATGCTCTATATTTCAATCCTCAGTCCTGAAAATAATTAAATAAAAATGATAAATTACTGGCAAAAAATTATATAACCGAGAAAAGCGGCACGTAAAGGTTGCGCGAGAGAAAAATGCAAGGCAATTTGCCAATTTCGTCGCAGTCTTAAGTATGTTGCAGAAATAAACCATACATAGTTTTACTAATGTTCATCTCTTAAACGGCTACTTTTCATGCAGCCTTTCGTTTTCTTTTTTAAATTGCACGATCCTCAGCGTTTACGCGTTACATTTCGCAGATACACGCGGATAACGTTCGCTTTATGCGCTTATGTTGACGACCGTGTCGCTCATCCTACCGACCGACGCAACGCCGAGGTGATAATTACGGGCTCCATTCGCGTTTACTGTATTCGTGCGTGCAATTTGCCACGTGCGCGCTTTCGGTCTCGCAGATAACGCAGCTCGTTCCGGCACCTGCGAATCATTCGACCCTCCGCCACCGCTAATCCACCGCGTGATCATTCTTTCACGTTGGCTAAAGTGGCCGTGCAGTTTGATTTGATTTCGATTGGATTCTGATCGATCCCGATGATGGTATCGGCTAAAACGCGACATGCATTCAAATGCGCAAATAAAGATATGAAATGCGCGAATTCCTCGATCCTTAATGGCGCATTCTCCATCGCGAGAATAATTGTCATTGCGGGACCGTCGCGCATGTCGCACAATTACACGGCGAATAAAACATGACGCGTGCGCGCGCGCTTTACGAACCGGTGCGGGTGGATGGAGTTACGGGGGAGGAATCGCGCTTTATATCGCGTTAGACAATTGCGACGGAACTCTTTCATTTCTGCGCGAAATCTGCGGTGTCGCTTTCATATCCCGTAACGACGTGATCGACATTTAAACGATGACGAGGCGCGATCTCCGACGCATTTGGAGAAGCAATGGATTGCCGGGCAAGCCGATCGATACTGCTTATACTTTATACACGAGAGATGCGACCTATGCCATTTGTGCACCATGCATTATGGACGAAATATATGCGGATAATACGGACCCACCGATATAGTTGCGAATTCACGGATAAAGCAATCGTAGAGAATTACAATAAATCCGCGGGTAATACGCACCGTCGGGCGTTAGTTATTGCGAGTTACGCGAAGCGCGCTCTGTTTACGCTCGCGCCCAGCGCGATTCATAATGCGCACGGAGATAATGAGCAATTTGTAATATATCCGAATGTAATTTGCTACCAGGGCGCGTTACTGCGAACGTTGTTCAATTTAGCGCCGTGTTTCATCGTACCTTTTGCTACAATACACAAAAATCTATTAGTTATTAACACATTATGATGCGCATAAACTTGGCAAATATCTCGCCAGAGAATTGCCGGTAATAAATAATTTCCATATATTTTAATCATTGAATATGATATAATTATATGTTATATTAAAATGTATTAACTATTACCTGCGGTATATTAAATTTAATAGTTTAATGTTTAGCTTTCTAGTAGTCTTTAAATTAATATAACACGCGAAATTGAATTATTTTAGGGCTCATATAGAATTAATATTTTTTTATGGAGCGCAAGCACAGTGCACATGTAACAATAAAGTTTATGCGCTACAATGTATCTTCGCCGAGATTTTGTTGAAGCGCTGAAGCTACAGTTTTAAAGACCGATAGCAATTTTTCTCTCTCACGCTGTTTTCCCTTTGTCTCTTAGTCATACGAAAGGTCATCGTTTTACGCTGCGCGACAGCCCCTTCCCTCGACCGCGGTGGTTTACTGCTTCATTAGGTGGATAACTTTTTTAGGGGTTTTTAAAAAGCGCGAGAGTTTATGCCTGTGCTTCGCGGGAGTTTTAAAACAGTTTCGCACACCCCTCCTAGTTGATCTCGGTGTAACGCAGTTGTGTGGTACAACTGTTCTTAGTAGCGGAAAACGAAACTTTCCAGCTTGAGTTTCCGTGAAGGCGAAAGTTGACGTTTAACATTTTGGGACTCTTAAACTCCGGCAAAGCAATTATCCAGACTGCCGCAACATTGATTCAATTAAATTTGGCAAAAGTCTGTATTCCGAAATTTTGCACTCGATAGCATTTATTAACAATCTCGTAACAATCCCGAATCACAGACAGATTCTTCCAACAATAATCACATGATCTTCAATTTGTGTGAATAGACAATTTTTATGATTTTAAGGATTTTGTACTTTATAGTTCGTAACTCATCATATAAATATTGTAAAACATTATATCATGATTTGTGTCTGACATCAAAATCTTTAAGCAATGAAAGTTTACACAATTTTTTCTTCAGCTTTAACTTTTTACGCTTTAATTTTTCACAAATATCGGGCAAAAATATTGAACTTTCTGTAGACAAATCAGTTCCTATAGTCTGGAGGAGAAACGATTAGATGAATGAGGAAGAAAGTACAGGGAAAGCAGGGAAAGTCCGGGACAAAGCGATGGGCAAAAGGCGCTAAAATTCTCAATTACATTAACTCGCTTCCCGGTCGGTCCCCGTGTCACGGTGCTTGGAGGAAGGGATTAGTTAGAGAACCGCTATTGGATTAGTGAATCCGTCGGCGCACCCGGTTTATCTTCTCGGATCATCCTAGACAAGTATCTTTATCGTTTGTGCCGCATTCTTCCAAATTCTTTACGTGACGTTACAATAAAGCACGATTCATTGTTCGTTATTCAAACGCAGAACGACGCTTTTGAACAATATATTCAAAACCACAATGCAGAAATTTGTTTTTGTGCTATGAAAGTCACAAATGTCAACACGAAATGAATATAGTTACCAGCTGTCTTTCGTAAATTGTATGAATTATGGTTCTAATGATGATAAATGAGTCTGAAACGATTTAGAGAATGTATTTTTCATGTCAAATGGCCAAAAAGGACATTTTTCAAATGTTTTGAAAAGGAAATACGCTTTGAATCGGTGTTTTAAATTGCTTATCCCTTCTTTCAGTAAAACCACAAGTTACTCGGTTCTTTAACGAATTTGCATATTTATAAAAAGTAATTTTTTTCCTGCGAATGTATAGTACTAAAAATTACCACAATTTAAATGAATATCCTGTGATTGGCGCTGTTACGAAAAGATACAGCTCGTCGTGCGATCCGACGGCAAACCATAACAGCAGCGCGAACGTATTGTTACATTCGTAATAAAAATAAATACATCTTTGTGTGCAGTTTATTGTTGTCGCATTGTTTCTACGTATATTCATTGTTTGAACAGGTTGAAAACTAAAATCCAGCGTAATAATTTTGATTCTGTAGAATAGATGTTTCGTTTTGTGCAAGCAAATGATAAAATTATGTATAACGTATTTTTCGATGTAAGTTAATAACCTTAAAAATATAAATGTCATTAAGATATAGATAACAGCAAGACAAGTTTTTCATGCAATTGTAAATACATTCTCCGCCGATTAGCAGAAATAATATCGTCTAAAATGTTTTCTCCCTATTGTTTTCTTTAAATTATTCTTCACTGCATATGAAAATTATAATGTCACATTATGTTGTGTACATATTTTCAAGTTACATCGTTTAAAAAAAATGATGCAATTTACACTCAGACGTACCGTAATACGTGAAACTTTCTCGCGATAACAGACTACAAATCTTGAATGAAATGATTGATTGTTACGTCAATGATAAAATGGAATAAAACAAAGCTACTAAAGTAAGATATTCTTCTGACAATCGTATATCATTTTATCTAGAGCGTTTCCGCGAGTAGATATATAAACTTCTAAACTCGATCACTCTTTATTTGTTGGAAATGCGAAGATTATAGCATTTTGATGTACTCACGTTCCGTTGTCGGCGAGCGCGGGCTGCGGCCAAGCACGTGGCACAGGTTCCTCCTTCAGTATCTGCCTCATATCTTGAGGCGCGAAAACCAACGGCGCCCGCGGATGATGATGGGGCGGCGGGGGTGGCGGTGCCACACTCGCGCTGTACAGCTTACGTCCCCAGTGGCCCTCGAGCTCGACGGGACTTCCGCCCCCTGTGGTGGCCCCGGTACCACCCCCTCCGAGTCCGAGCCATGGTGACCCCCCAGCACCCACGATTGAGGAGCTGGGCAGGAGACTGCTCCACTCGTCGGACCGCGTGGTGAGGCCGTACGGACTCTCTTGGGGCAACAGGCTTCCTCCTTCGCGTTGCCAGTCTTTGCAGAAACCTTGGTCGCCCCCTCGATCACCCCTTCGCGGCTCCGCGGGAGACTCCACCGGTTGTCTCTCCGTCAGAGCGGGTACGCCCGGTACCACGTTTCTTTAGGTGCGCGCATGAATCATTATCACTGGAACGTTAGCGGCCGGCAGCCCGTGGCGGTGCATGAACGTCCGCTCACCACTGACGGTGTCGCGTCTTTCCGGACCGCACCGTCAAACCGGGCGCACCGACCGCGTGCCGGTGCACATGCGTCCGAACGTGCGTGCCACGAGTTCGCGATACGAGCGCGCACTAAGGGCCACGTTGCTGTCTCACAATGCACTGTTTTCACTTGCTCGCGCAGGTACGTGTCCCTTGTCCTTTGCCGGTCTTTATCACTGACGTATCACTCTCTATACGACGCGTCGTATGTTCGTGGACCTCGCGAGGGTTGTCATCGGCTACTCTTTAAACGCTTTCCCAAAGGTACCCTTCTTTCAAATTGTTCTACAATCCCTATGTCAGGCGATGATGCCTGAGACACGGAAGTGTGTGGCGATGGTAATCTGAGCACTTGCCGGCAGCACCCTGGTGCGTATTATCGTCGCTGCCAAAATGTTGCAAACGTGTCTCGTGACCAGCGGAGAGGTCCTTCGAGGTCCCTAGTCGCACGTTGCTTCCCGTTACGGTGCCGCTTGTCGAATGTGTCAGGGCCGGCACTAGCGGCGTGCCAGCAGGTCCCAGTGGGGTCGGGTCTGGAGAATCGTGGTGGGCGCGGCCACGAGTGATACCGCGCATCGACCAGCCCGTCCGGAAGGTCTTGCCCATTTTGCACCGCGCGCCAATCCACTGCGAGTTGCGCAACCAATGGATAAAGCTGCCCATACCCATATCAACGCCCACCTGGGACACCAAAGACTGTGGCGCCCTGACGGCAACATCAAGAGACTCTCATTCCGGCGCGAGCCGCTCACGAATAAGGTCCAGGCTGTGATGCTCCTTTCCTCTGGATAAAAGTTCAACGAATTAATATTTCGAAACTACTTCAAAAGATTAATTCTTTTAACAAACTAATATATGATAAAGGTTCGAGAATATAAAATAAATTTACGTTCAAAGAAGCTAACGAACTAGTCACCAGTGTACGTGTTAACAAATTTTTTGGTGAATTTTTTTTTTAAGAAAAAGGACGATATAAATATCTTTCAGAATTCCATAATTTGGTCTTTGATGCGTCATCTCTAGCAAACAGTCAACGCAGAGATTGAATTGGATTATCATTTATTCATTGCACACTAAAACTACAATGATTACTGAAAAATAAATCCAAAAATATTGATAAAAATAAGATAAGAATAAATAAATGGCGCGCACGTAGCGCGTACCAGTATTGTTCTAGTCTATTGATAAATTACATATTGTTGACATCTCATTTTCTGGGATTGTACTTTTGATTTTAATAAAATAATTTCAGAATAAATCTGTGATCTTTTTCTTAATCTTTCGAGTTCCGTTATTAATTGAAGACTAGCTTTCTGCACTAGATTGTTTCTACAATGTGCTGTTATAGATGCTGATTAATTAATTTGAACATAAACAATCAACTAAATTTTATATATTTAAGATTTTTATACTTTAATTCTTTACGATAAAGATTTCTTCTTCCTTTGATTTTGTCAAATCCTAGTTCTCTTGATATTTGTTTTAAAGTGGCTTCTGCACGAAGGAGCGGTTAGTATGGGTGTTTTGGTGACGCCTCTTTGATTATTATTAATTCATATGATTTCTTTTATAAAAAATATCACTTAATACATTATTGAACAAATGCATTGATATGCTAAGTTATATATGCACATTTAAAAACATAGTTAAAAATGTGTGATATTGTCAAGTCTCAAAGAGCCGTCCAATTCCCTCGAAACATTGTATCTTTTGACTTTACTAATAAGTACTTGCTTGCAGAGGTCGGTGACTTCACATACTTAATAGCACATTTAAATCCTTGTGACATTTATTATGTTCATCTCGTTTTTTATTAAGATCTGCTTTTTTCTAAAATAATATTAACCCTCAAAGTGTTTCTGCAAGCGATCGGCCCGTAACCCAGTGAACACCAAATAATAGTTACATAATATTGATTTACGAAACTGTTACTTGGTGTTTACTGGAATGTTAAAAAATATAACTTTAACATTTTTTCTTTATTTTATTTTATCTGCGACCGGGTCTGAAATTTCGCGTACTAATAGATAAAATTTACAACTACAACATACTTAAATTTTAATTTTTCCTACTCTTGGTCGGTTTATGCAGGAGCCACTTTAAGAAGAGCTCTATATGTTTACCATTACTCGTTTTAAGAGTTAAAAACTTCCTACTTTTTAGATTTACATTCTGAATAACAAATGTTAAATCATCGACACAAAACTCTTTATGTATTTATATAGAAAAAGGCCACTAATATCTTTATGTATTGCAAGAAGTATTTGTTTTATTACAATTTATATTTTAAATCAGTTTTATTTTAGAAAAATTAATCTTATCGTAAAATTATAAGATTTTATACACAAATGATAAAAACGTTGAGCGTTACTAGGTAATCGAGTGTATAAATCTTAGCTCGAATGGCAGTTGGGTCGAAAAAGTAATTATAGAATTTGTTTGAATAAATTTATGTGATGGAGGGAATAAAGGCAATCGCGAAGTTAGAAGGGAAAGAAGAAAGAAGAGACTTGCAGTGTTTCGCAATCTTCTTACTAGCATGGGACTACGAAGAAAATATATTCTTTCCGTGATTTCGTTTGAACAATGCACGTTGGAGAGCCACTGCTTCGAGGGTATGGGGCCTATCAAGTGGAGATAATGTGTTCTGTGCTGGGTAATTTGGCTCTCCTCCCTTCTTTCCACTCAACCGTCTTGAATCTACTTCTTTGACTGTTTTACATTTCCAAGCGTCCCCGAAATATTCTGTTGTTACTAATTGTAAGTGTCGTCCTATCAACTAAACTTGATCGCGGGCAATAGTTAATATTAATATGTTATACGGGGTGTTACGGATAAAGCCAACGGCACACGATACAATTTTTCCTACTGGATTGCTTACGAGAGCCAATCAGCTTTGAGTCACCTGATCGAAAACTCTAAATCCTGATTGGCTCTCGTAAGCAATCCAGTAGGAAAAATTGTATCGTGTGCCGTTGGCTTTAGACTCGCCGCTCGCTGCTTGACAATTTTTTCCGTCGCGATATCATATGTCACATATTGCTCCACCACGCTCTTACGCACTTACCGAGTCCGCCCTACTGGGGGTCAATTCTGTATCTTACTCTATAGTAAAAACGCTAAACGTGAATGAATAGATTTGTCTCTTTCTAACCGCCCCTTTACAAAGAGACAAAGCCGCTCACTTTTAGCATTTTTATTATATTGCAAGATACAGAATTGACCTCCTGCTTTCCTCGTGCCTATTTAATTACTCAATGACTATTGCAAATTTTACAAAATGGTACATAACTTTTCTTTTTAGTTTAACCCGTTCTATCTGTATACGAGCGGATAGACACCTTATTCGTAACACACTGTACGTTATGTTATAAAATATTCTTATATTTATATTTGCGTTTGAAAAACCATTGGCATTGAAACTGAAGCGAAATGTTCATGTATATTTTAGTTGTGTACTAATTACGAAATCAAGTTTAGCAGTGAGTAATCGTTGAAACTGCTTAACGTACACCCAACTTAACGTACCTTCGTATACAAAGTGTCAAGGGTCGCCGATTAATGTTTATCACATGGCAAGATAATGAAGTTTAATGAGGGTCTGCAGGCATCATTACGAAACACTCGACATGCGCGCGTGCCAAACCGGTTTCAATCTCCTTTTTTTTCTGAGCCTCGTCTTCTCTTTCAGTGCCGTGATTCATGAGATCCCTCTCAGCTGCCCAACGGCCTGTAACATTGCCACCTTATGGCAATGACGCGGCTCCGGGAGTATGAGAAGCTATTTAGAAATGGAGGTGCTACTTTTTGCTACGTTATGCTTCGGTCCTTAAAAAGATTGCTCCAGTTTGAAAAATACTTCGAGTGAGCGAATTGTTGAAATTTAATTCACGAAATTTTATGTACTTCTCTGTACGAAAACATTCTTTATGCTTTGTAAGAGTTTCCATTATTTTGCATTGAGTTCATTTAGTAGAAAAGTGACAAATATTATTCCGGAAAAAACATTAGCGTTAGTAATAAATATTTTTATTACATTTTATGTAAAGACATACCTCAAATAATCCCGTAATCCAATGGCAAACGGTGTCAACGTGCCTAAATATTCCAACGATGTTAAATGAACATCACCGCACCGACCAAATCCAATTACCAATTGGGAGGGTTGAACGATACTGACTATTGCTACGCTTTGCGTAGATATACCCTACACTTTGCTTACCTTTTAAGCCTATTATTATTCAACTATGAAAATATTGCGGCCCGGATTTTCTTGTTTATTCTATGGCAATTGTTCCTACGTATAAGCTCGGATAGAGTCGTGAGCTATAGTAAAGGTCGGATAGACCTGTCACAAATTTTCAGTATAGCTCGACAGCCTGCGCAACGCTGAGAAAACTTTCATTGATGCATCGAAATGTGAATCGGTAAAAGAAGAATGCTTTAGTCGTGTTATTTGCAGCTATCAAACCTTGAGAATTTTTAGAGATAGCAAATAGCGCGCGCGAA